ACCAGGACAGCTCCAGCATTTTATGGGCTGTATATCTGCCATACCTTGCCAACTGCATATTTTGGGCAAGGAAGGCAGAGACAAGGCTGAATTCAGATACGTCATCATCAGAATTTGAGGGAGCAAGTGGTTGTCCTGTTTATTTTGCAATGGGGAAAGCAAATATGGCAAATGAGTGGTTATATATAAAGTACTTTGATGTATTCATGTACTGGTGGAAATGTGATGGTCTTGTTTTGGGAAATGGATTTGTCTCCTCCTTGAAACCTCTCTGAAGTGTGTTTTAATGGTTTTACTACTGCAGAAATGGTAACGTCTCAGGGAAAAATAGATATAAACCATGCAGTTATCCAGCTAGAGAAAGCAACCTTCCCTTTTGCCAAAACAACGACTTGGTATTGATTCTTACTGATTGGTTTGAAGAGAGACATTTATGTATTTACAGCTCGGGGTTAGAATGGGCTTTAATGGTGAGAACTGGCACAGAAACTGTACTGTAAAATGAGTTCTCTCCCTCCTTAAGTTAGGAGTAACACAGCTTATAGCACTTCACGGTCAAATGAAACCTTGCTCGGCTGAGCTGCCAGAACACCCCGATGAAACCAGTGAAACTTTATTTTCTGGAGAAACATTTTCTGTAACTCACATTTTTCAGCAAATCTCTGTGTTTTGGAAAGCACAGTGACAATTCTGCGAGGTATTTGCTGCGATGGACATAATTTCTTATTAAATGCCACACGCGTCCACGTGGGATTGACCCGTACCCGTGTGTTTTTCAGTACAGGATGGTGAAGGAAGCACTGGAGGAGCGTGCGAATCTGCTGGAAATCGCCCCGCACCTCTCGGCCCCTCTGCCCATCATGCTGCCCGTTTACAAGTAAGCCCTGCCGTCATCTCTCTACCATTGCTTCTGGCAAGCAGGCTGCTTCCCTGCAGAAGTTTTGGGATGCCAGTGTGTCCCTGAGCCTGTCCCAGCCTCTGTCCTGTGTTGTAGGAGCAGGAAACTCTTATGGCCCCAAGCAGCTTGGGGTTCACCTGGTCCAGTGCTGCCCCCTCAGTGCAGGGAGCAGGGGAGGCTGCAGCTGGAGTGGGCTTTCCTCCCCAGGATATTTGCTATTCTGGTTTACTTTACTGTAGACTCCCAGAGTTGGGTTTCTGTTGAGGAAAGCTGTGTTTCTAAAAAGCCTGCAGCGCTCAATGGAGGAATTCACTTGAGGAGCCCCTTCAGCCTGCACGTGCAGCCCGGTTCTTCCCTCAATACACAGCTTTAGCACCTCACCTTACAGCAAAGTACATAAAAGCCAGTTTGTGATCCTCATTCTGGAATAAATAAAGCCTTGAATCTGCTTAACTGACTGCAGTGCGTAGATCAGTAGCGAACGATACCTGAGTCCTTGCACACTTACGTTATATTGTGATACCATGAATTTATACGACGGTACGAAGTAGAGCTGGTGTCGTCCAGCACACCGAGTCAGTGAACGTGTTCTGTGTTGTAACAGCAGTGCGTGCGTGCGCTTCTAAGCTGCTTCTGCTTCCCTTCACGGGGAATTACCGCGTTTCCCCGCAGGTGGTGGCAGTTGCCGTACTACTGGATTGGAATCAAGCTGTACGACCTGGTAGCTGGCAGCCAGTGCCTGAAGAGCAGCTACGTCCTCAGCAAGTCGAGGGCCTTGGAGCTCTTCCCGATGCTGCGCAAGGACGAGCTGGTCGGAGCCATCGTCTACTATGACGGTACGTGGCCTTTCCGTGCTTGTGTTGCTGCCCGGTGCTGCTTCTGGGGCTGAAACACAATTACGCAGCTGTGGATCGCGTACCTTGGCTCTGTAAAGGTGAGAACCACAACTTGGAGGATTCACCGTGCACCTTAAGCGTTAATTTGGTCGTTAAATGATGTTTTTCATGACAAACTGCCTGGATATAGGAGGGAATGTTTTAGCTTTCTTGGCTGGTAGGTGTAGCGATGTGTGAACATGTTTTGGGGGATCCCCACAACTTTCCCTGTGTGATTGTGCCGTGCACTTCTCATTGAACGCTTCCAGTCCAGTTCTGGGCCCCTCAGTTCAAGAAGGACAGGAACTGCTGGAGAGAGTCCAGCATAGGGCTACAAAGATGATCAAGGGAGTGGAGCATCTCCCTTCTGAGGAGCGGCTGAGGGAGCTGGGGCTCTTTAGTTTGCAGAAGAGGAGACTGAGGGGAGACCTCATTCATGTTTATCAATATTTCAAGGGTGAGTGTCACGAGGATGGAGCCAGGCTCTTCTCGGTGACAAACAATGATAGGACAAGGGGTAACGGACACAAACTGGAACACAGGAGGTTCCACTGAAATTTGAGAAGAAACTTCTTCTCAGTGAGGGTGACAGAGCCCTGGCCCAGGCTGCCCAGAGAGGTTGTGGAGTCTCCTTCTCTGCAGACATTCAAAACCCGCCTGGACGCCTTCCTGTGTGACCTCATCTGGGTGTTCCTGCTCCGGCAGGGGGATTGGACTGGATGAGCTTTGGAGGTCCCTTCCAATCCCTAACATTCTGTGATTCTGTGATTCTGAGGTGTTGTAAGTAAGAAAATGTGATAATTCCTGTAACATTGAATGATTTACTGGAGCGTTTCCACTGTGCAATTAACCCCAGACCCAGAGATGCTGTGGCTCTTGCACTGGGTTGAGTGAGACCTGGACCAGTTCCTTCTGTATCACCAATAAGCTGGTTGCTCTGCAAAGGCAGCATTCATTATAATTATAATCAAATACTAGAGATTGCTCTGAGACATAAAAGGTTTCTGTTACAACCCCTTTAAAGAGAGGGTTATAAATTCGTGGGAGGAAAAACGCCTCCAGCTGGAGTTATTTAATTTATTGTATGGCTGGTTTGGGGCGTGTTTGTGTTTAATGCTTACACGAAATCCCTCTCTGAGACAATCAAGATGCTCTCTGCAAGTCTCTTGGTGTTCTCCCAAATACAACGATTTAGTATGACTCCTTGCAGTTGTCTAAGCAGCAGTTTTCACGTTCAGAAGTGTTGGTGCGTAGTCACGTTTGGGAGGAGCATCACTGGTGTTTGTGACAAATGACTGCTGAAAGCTTTGCTTATCTGAAATACTGGCGTTGGTGTTGATGTAGGGGTGTCCAGCTCTACCCAAACTGCTGCATTTGTGTGTTTGGGGGCAGATTGGTGATAGGGTTTGAGCCCTGCATTTACACTGTGCTTCAGCCGATTGGGGGAGAGGAGTAGGAGGGATCTCAAAAGACGCTGGGCTTGGTATTTATGAGGCTTTTGGCAAAAGCACACGTTGAGAATGGTAAATTGTCTCATATAGAGCCCAGCAGAATGGAAAAATAGATAAAATTCACCTATTTTTGTGTGGAGTATGTATGTGTAGGTTATTACTTGGGAGTAAGGTGAGGCTTAAAGGATGGAGTTGGTTTTTACCTGTCTGCATCTTCTCGACCTTGTTTGTGAGGTCTGGAGGAACTAAGAGGTTATGCAGAAGCACCGTTTGTGATGGGTTATGGGGTGTTTTCTGCATTCTGTGACAAGAGCTGCTGTGAACAGCAGAAGTAATTCAGATGTATTTTTGCATTATTATAAGCTATGTTCTGAGGGATCCCAGGAGCATGCAAGAACGTAAGTGGTTCTTGTAACTGCAATTACACTGCACTGTAACTTCAGATCTATTTATAATCTACTAAGTTTTTTGGATTAGTTACCCACATCTTTCTGCAGAATTTAAAGAAATGGTATTTTGCAGTGAGAAACTTAAAAAAAATTCTCCAAGCTTCACCAAACCTCAGTTTCTTACAAGAATGAAGTGGTTCTGGAGGACTGAAGTGTCACATTCAAGCACATGGTGCTGTCTGTGTGCTCTGATGCTGCCCCTCATCCACAATAAAACCTAGTTAAAGTTGTTTTGTCATCGTCAATTTACTTGTGTTCTGTCCACAGCCGGTTTGGTTTAAGCCCCAGTGTTTCAGCAGGCGCACTTCGGGTCTTGTACTGTATTGTGTGTGAGGTTTCATGGTACGCTGTCGTGCCCGAAATCCGGGGGAATGGAGGACAGAAGGGAAAGGGAGAAGGGGATGGTGAGACTGAATTTAACTGATTTGAGTGCTTTCAGAAGGGTTAGTCGTGATATAGAGCATTCCATGGTGGCAAACACATACATAAATATATATGTGTGTGTGTGTATATATGTGTGTGTGTGTGTGTATGTATATATGTGTGTGTGTATATATGTATATATATTTTTGAGTAGATATATGTGTATATATATACTTATATATGTATATAAGTAGATATATACTTGTGTGTATACACACATACATACAAATATATATACACACACATATATAAACATATATACATATATATCTACACATATGTGTGTATGTGTAGATATATATGTATATATAAGTTTGTGTGTATATATGTATATATGCATATAATTGTGTGTAGATATATGTGTATATATGTATATAAGTAGTTATATATTTGTGTGTGTAGATATATATGTATACACACATATATACAAACATATATACACACATAAACATAGATACATATATATATCTACACGTGTGTATGTGTAGATATATATGTATATATAAGTTTATATGTGTTTATATATGTATATATGCATATAATATTTGTGTGTAGATATGTGTATATATGTATATAAGTAGATATATATTTGTGTGTGTGTAGATATATATGTATATACACATATATACAAACATATATACACACAAACATACACACATGTAGATATATATATGTA